GGATAATGCGCTGGCGGTCACGGTCAACCGTTGGGCGATCGGAGTGTGCGGTTTTTGGGGTCGACCTTTTCTAAGCCCTTCCTCGGGGGAAGGCAGCATCGCTGCTTCCATAAATATGGACATGCTGGTCGCCTGGGGGAAACACCTTACTGCCTTCACACTCCTGTCGCAGAGAACAGTACGACTTTACCCCCAGACCGCCTCGTAGCACGATTACTCGTAGTACGGGGTCTCGCTGCTCTTGGTCTGGCTGCTCCCCTTTGGCCTTCCTGGCATGGTTGCACCTTGTGGAACGAAGTTCCAGCCAGTGTCGCCCGCGGGATCGCTGCAGCACTCAAGCCCGACCACCACGTCAAGGTGGCAGCTTTAGGTCGGGACCTGAGATGCAGTCACTAATGAATACAAAATTAGGCGACAGGAATTTTCCAAGCAGCATGTGGTTTTAACAGCAATGTTAGCACCAATGAACCCACAATGAGTGGATATGGATGATATGCCCAAGCTCTGACCCCTTGGTGTGAACCGCAACTTCGGCTTCCGTACTGTCTTGACCCACTGCATTTTCTGAGGCCGACCGATCTACAAATGTAGTGGAATCAGTTCAGGATAGCGCAGAAGTTGGGGCATGAGTGCGTTTATTGTTCGACACTAACATTCATTTATCGATCAATCTCATCCGTTTTTGATGAACTCCGTAATTATTATGGGCCGCATATCAGCCAATGATTAGACATTTTATTTTTGGTCCACTGAACAGACTTTCGATGAATCAGGCTCTGACTCATATACAAGTGTGGTATGGGATAAGCGACTCAGTTTTCGGAGCACTCGACCAAAATGCGAAAGGTCGTTTACTCAGTACACCTCTTGTAAATCTAATATGGACTCCCTTCTCTGTGGTTCACTACCAGATTCATAAAGGTCTGTGTATAAGGCTGCAGAATTGTATTTTGACGGCCCGGATTCAGTTGCCCGGAGACTTTGGGTTTGACTGCTTGATCCCTTCCTGGAATGTGGTTGGAGCGATTATTAGGGTAATATTAGTTTTCAGGCTTGAAATTTCAGCGGACAATTTGGGGATGGCTCTGTTGAATTTAATCTCAGTAGCTCAATCGACAAAGCTAAATTTCCATTTTTTTATGAAAGCATGAGTAACTGAATGTAGATCAGTTTTGAATACCTGAATTACGTAAGTGTCTGACCTATCAAGCGGAAGGTATTTACATTATGCCAATACATTTCGCCTGGGCTGCTTGCAACATCTGACCTTTTCATGTCATCTTCTGGCCCGTTGGAAATGTGATATTTGTCGTTCGGTCCACTCTGCTATTTAGATCGGTCAACATTCAATGTTCCCTTTAATGCCCTCTTACAGACAGTTCATGCGGGAATTGGACTTCCGGGAACTTGAAGTAGATGAAGCACTACGTCTGTTGCTGAGTTGCTTTCGCACACCGGTAAGCTGCGACCAGATTCCCTCGACTATCTGATTTAATTAACCTCAAGTTAATTCCTCTCCCACCGATCGTTGGCAGATTCCCCCAATTCTCCGCTCAACTTTACGTTCCTTTTTTTTCAAGGAATATTTCATCTCCAGCTTTAAGCCCGTACTTATTGCATTCAAATTTCCGGTTTTTAAATAACGATTTTCCACTGACCTTTCAGCCCTAATGGTTTTCAGTCTTGGGTTTGATTTGTTTTGTATCAGCTCTCCTGTTTGATCAGCCCAACTGCTATGTATATTTCGCCCTCGACGGCAAGTGTCGACCTCCTTTGTTAAAACAGCCAATCTTGTGGTCTTTCAACCAAGTCACTCTCATCATATCACGTTGTAACTTCTTTGACAATGCCATTGAAAATAATGTCTGTACGATTATACCCACCTATACGATTGGGTGTACTTAACCACAAATGTAACAACCAGACGATGTAAGTGCTTACGTCAGCGGATAACTGAGTTGTCGTCAGTAGGTTGTTTTTTCTCTTTGGTCGCCATCGCTTGAGTGCGGTATCTTTCGGGAATCAATGCGGATGGAGTATGCTTCATAGTAAACAACTAGCAATCGTTCGTTCGCGCGCAATGCGAGCACGGTTATCGTAGATTACGTGCACCGTTGTTTTCCCTTAAATCCAAATCAATCTCCTCATCATACTTTCCTAGTGCATGACAGAATTTCAGTTGGTTTTAGTCCCAAATACAGGGAAATTGAAACTAAGTTAAATAATGTTGCACTACCCTCCCACGGCACCCTATTCATTGAGAAATGTCTCCAGAGCAAAATGTCTGCTCGTCACATTCACCGGAATCGCCAGGTCTCTTTCGGCAAATTTATGTTTTTGTTGGGTTGTTATCGCATCTTAAAAAGTCGTATTTCCTTTTTTATCTGATATCATCCTCCCTCCGATGCGTTTCTAACATACGGATCAATGGGTGTGTTCAGAACCATGCTGTAAGACATTCGAACCATGGGCTGTCACTCAAATTGACGGGATTTATGACAGATCTTTCCACACGAACATGGTGGACACCAGTGGTGAAGACAGTTGTAAATCGATTGTCAGTCATGTTAGGTTCATTCGGCCACGTAGAGCTTCGTGCACGACCAGGTGGTGAATGGTCGGTATGTAGATTTAATGTTAGTGGTCTTTCAGCCCATCGCTGTATCGTTCTAATACGGGACTGTATTCAGCAGATGAACTCATATGGATAGCTCAAATGCGTCCTCTTGTAACCAGCTGGAGAGAGGCTTAGAAACCAGCTTAGAAATCATCTTTTGACAAAATTGTTGGAAACAGACAACCATGAGTATATCGCATTTGGAATTTGGGAGCAACAGAAGAAAAACGAAGTTGCCTCAGTTATGCATCGTTGAAATGGATCAACCGTCGGGGTGATGGGGTGCTGACCACTTTCAGTGTTAGTTACACCCGTCCAGCGAAGTGCCAACTCCTACGTGGTTGGTCAGTCTAGTAAGGAGACCCGTCTTTTCACCACGCTCTAATATTCTCTTATCCGCACGCCCATTGCCAGTCACTTTATAGCGATGTCCATCACCTCTCTATCTCAGTTTTCGCCCACAAAGTTGATTCCAGCCTGATTGACGCTGATGTGGCTGGTTGTGATAGGCGATTCTTATCCTATTTGGTAGCGCCAATTGGCCTTAGATCAATTCGTTCCGTGGTTGTCCGGTTGTGAATCAGCCATAAGCGGAGAACTAGTCCAAGACTGTTCGAGTAAAACTGATATTCAACGAACATCGAACTAACTCGGCCCTCCCGTGTACGTTCGCTTTGTGTAAGCCTCTCGCCTATTCTTACCATGGGATATCGACCTAAACAAAGATCTTGACTAGGAATGAAAGATGTTTGTTTGAAACCAGGTTATAAATTGTTTCTCGAAAAGTATTTGTTCCCGTTTTTCCTTATAAACCGAAACCAATTGGTTTTCCAACATAACGTGACCACGTTTTTGTGATTGAATTAGACATTCCCATTTTGGTTTGAACCCGAAAGCGTTCAGGGTAGGTGTTTTCCCATTTGGGGGTGCTGTTCTCAAGTTACATTTTCCATCGACTCTAACTTTTTCAGGGTGAATCGCAGAAAATCGTGCATCTCTTAACGGAATTCCAATCTGCCTACATAGAACAGAATCCGGCACGTGTGAAGGCCCAATTCCGAAATATCGATTCTGTTATGGTTCTTGCCTATGCAATTGTAATGCTTCACACGGACATGTACAGCCCGAATGTTCGCCCACAGAGCAAGATGACCAGGGATGAGTTTGTGCGCAACCTGCGAGGAGTTGATGGAGGTACTTTATCTCTATTTTGTCGATAACCTACTCTGTTACTATCATTGCCACTGCTTTTGATAACTGGGGCTTTATTCGACAGATACTCTCGTTTCCACACAAATACGGTTTCGAAAGGAGGGTCGAAGAGTTTTCAGAAACCTCATAAGTAGTGTGTTACGTTCAGGACCTTTATTCTTGGCACATTTTACGCGTGCCTGAGCTTTGTGATGGTCTGAAACCCCCAGCTTGTCTCATTCTCATGAGATTTTGACATACAACTAGCCAGCCATAGGAGAATTATTTGGAGAAACACGGCGTGTTGAGTGCGAATGCTTTTGTCCTGCCAATACAACTGTTCAAACGATCTAAGCTATTGTTTTTACACTAATAAAGTGATGCATTATCAGGTAGACACTTTTCTCCTGTTCTCCTTACACAGCCAGATGGACACAGCTTCGGACAGGGGACGTCTCGGTGGTAGGTCATTGGTTAGAGACCATGTGGATGCACTCTATGACGAGTTTTAGACCCTGGGGAATTTTTGAACGTCTTGAACTTTTTCATAGTGGACTGTTGGGAATCTCCGGAAGCAGCTGCTTTTTCTGGCTCAAAGACGCTGAGTTTGACCAGACCATTTGGTGTGAGCAACCTTGGTATAATCAGTGGTTCGGTTTGACAAGCTAGTTTCAATGTCAATAGGCTTGGAACTTTGTATCATACAATTTTACATATGAAGGTCTTTTCCACGTGTTCAAACTAGTGAATACGAATGGGACCATCATATCAAACTATTGTCTGCTAAAGATGAACTCATTCATGGAGAATGGCTGGAGTTTGCCTTTGAAGTGGCTGAATTTAATCAGCCAGGTATCGTCTTTTCCTTAAAGGGGATGTTCGTCGTATGGAACCGCTTTCGATCCCACATTCATTGGTTGGTTTCAGACCCCGAAAGTGATATTCTTTTCAGTCCAAAGTACTGACGGCCTGTGGCCGTCTGCTGAGAACGGATGAGTCGAATTTATGAACTCTCTCAACGAGCTAGTTACTTTATCTTGTGAATCTTGGAAACTTGGTGCCAGTTTCTATTAACACTAATCTACTTTTGCTTGTCTATCATCGGATGCAGCATACAGGGCGGAAAGGAACTTCAGATCGGCCCAATTCGCTATGCTGGTGTTCCGTTTCTGTTCGATTAAGTTTGATCTCTGTATGAAGCTTTTAGTTAGCATTGCACTTGAAAGGATCAGTACTAAACCTGGACTTGCTTTTACTTGCTTGTTTTTTACTCTGTCCAAGAAACTAACTTCACAGCCGCGACAGCGCATACTTTCGACTTCGAAAACAAGCTCATCCGCCTGATCTGCTGAAACTGATAAGTAATCCCATCTAGGGGATTTTAGAATCCGGGTTTTGCCACTTCCCCTCGAGGAAACACCGTCGTCAGCCGAACTACGAAGACCGACCTACACCTACGTCCTTCTGTTCATTTGGATTACCTCGCCCCAATGTGGTAGTGAATGGCGCTTGAGGCTAAACTGTGGCAGTTCGCTTTTCTACCTCCTTTAGTATTGTATTACATTTTTTGCACTTTTGATATTAGACTTCACCGTACGTTGATTGGACCCGATTGCTTGCAGATCAACTGTGAAATGACTGATGTGTACAAAGCCGGCTGCCACCCTCCGAACCTATTCAGTGACGACCATAATCCAAAACTGTCGCATGGTTGCTGAGCTTAAAAAATAGGGAATATCTTCAATTCTCCTGCCGCTCCTGATGCAGCGAAACTTTGCTTATAACTTACAGTAATCGCAGTGCGTAAGCCTGAGGTCTTTCGGTCAAACGATGATGGCTTATCCAAACTTTGAGGAGCAGAACAGTTCCGGATTCGTTTTTCACCCATCCCAGTGCGATTCGTATTTCTCACTAAACGCCTTGGCATGATACTGAATCATCCTCATTATCCCCCTTGTTCCGATCCAGCTGTACTTTCAGTTGGTTGATCATTGAAACAGAGCAATCGGACACATACATAAACCGATCGCGTCCATCTAAACGTTTCGCACCCGCTCCTGGGTTGCGCTTTACTCGGTCTTCTTCTTCAATGGTTGCGATTAGAGCTGTCAACCTTTCATTGTCAAGCCCACCTATCATCTCAGGTTTCACACCCCACGAAACTGTCTCTTTTGACATGTCAGCTGTGAATCTTGCATTTGTCTGTCAAGAGACGTCTATTGTCACTTGGTTTGTCTGTCACGGTTTTGCGCGCCCCGAACATCACTCTGTCAGTGCGAATTTGACATAATTTACATCAGGCTGCCTTTCACAGCTTCACTCTTCTCCACAGCGTAGTGGGAGCTGAGGTACTGCCCAATTGTTCGAACCACAGCGGGAATCTGATTAGAAGTTTCAATAGAACTTCTGGTTCAACAGTTTTGCAACAGGGCAACACTGGACCATCATTTGTCTATGACTTCGAACCTTTGCAATTAAGAGGTGTTTCACGCAATTAAGTGTTTTTAACCATAATTTCAACTTTAAACTTTCTATGACCTGTCTTTCTTCAAACTTATTTTCTTGTTTATCGGGTCAGGGTTTGGGGATGATATACATTTCTGTTCGGTAAGCTGGAGGATCGACAATCCTACCACCTGGTTGGTTGAAACATACTGTAAAGAGATCCGTTGATCGGTGAAGCTACTCATAAGGTCGTTACAGCGTTGACCTTCTTGCCGTAACGAATTTCATCAGGCCTCTCAGATTGGAAGCACAACGTTTGGTAGGACCGCACCACAGATTGAATCCAGGTTGACAAAATACCGAACTAATTAAGTAGTCCGATAATTCTGTAGATAAGGGCTGTTGCTTGGACCTCATACGGGTCATGGATGTGGCTCTAACTAAAATAAAGGGCGAAGATTATAAGAGGAACAAAGTTATGACCAGATATGATAACCTCGAGGTATCTCCTTCCTAAACCATGGACAATTGTATGTTATCAATACAATCCTGATTTTGCTCATCCACTGTGATAGAGGGAACAATTTTTGGTATTCTAGAATACTGTATAGTAAGGAATTTTCAGTAGAGTAATCTACCGGTTCGTTCAATCCACAATAGTCATAATGACACCATCATACATACTTCGAAAGGAGAGCAAAAACGGAGATGGGATGGTTGTCTATCAGAATCTTATGTGAACTAGTGATTTTATTAACAATTAGTTTGGATACTCACGGATAGTAACCCATCAACTCCTTTTATGTCTCTCTTTATTTTGATACAGGCGAAGACCTGGATCGGAATCTCCTGCTGGCCATTTACGACCGTATTCGGCTTCGGGAGATGTCTGTTGCTCCTGATCACACTGATCAAGTACGAAAAATTCAACAACACCTCACCGGACCTTTGCGGCCGATCAACCTGGCCCTGCCGCAACGTCGCCTGGTCTGCTACTGTCGTTTATACGAGGTAGGTTGCCACAATACACCAGCTGGTTCACTGTGCTATGCGACGTCATTCAATGTTTTCCAGTATGAATCTTACTTGGGCTGATGGTGAGAATAACAGTCTATGGGCCGTTCCCAAAAATCTTCCATCTTCATGTTGTGATCCGGCTCTGACCACCGCACTGACCTTGACTGCACTGGCTATGTAACTTGTCGGAACGGTCGATTTAGAATAGTTAGATACGGGGAGAAAAACAGGCGCTCTCTTTCCCGGACATTGTTGTTTAAATGAACACTACGACCTTCGTTTCAGAAGAGCTTATAAACAATCGGCTGTTTTTAACTGGACAGCGTTTCGATTTTGACACAAGGCTTCATCGGGCCAAGTGAGCAGGTTGCCAATCTGGTCAGGTTTTAAGTCAGACGGAGACCGAAGCAGTGAGACCTCTTCCGATTAGCACACCAAATCAATGTTGAATGTCAGTTAATAGGTCTTGTTGGTTAGCGTGGTTACCTAAATCTACGGTTGATAGGTTGGGGGAGTTTAGGATAATTTTTTATCGAGTTTAGTTCCTTGATCTTCCACTTCAATGTGCTTCAATTGATTATTCACCTCAGGTGCCACTGCCAGATTTCGTTGGTTTGCGATCTTGTGAGAGCTACGACAGTCTTTTTCAGAAGGGGGGAGCTGGTTGAGCTTAAGCGCAATTCAGGTCTAAGCTACTTGTGTTGATAGCTCCTCATTCTGAAAACAACACACCAACACGTTTCAGGTCGGCTCATCCAAGACCGCTCTCCACACACTTGCCAGTTCTACGCCTCCTATCTTATGTACACTGGGGTGCTTGGTCATTTCCACCGACTCGGTTATCAGTCTATGTGGTGTGGATCGTAGTCCCGTGTCCAGTACATGTTCTGCCATTGCCGAGCCTTTCAGTAACGCTCTGTGGCCTGTTTGTTTTTCTTATGTGTCCTCCGATCCTGTTGTGAAGTTCCCTGGTTGTCTGCCCTACACAGACCTTAGTGCAGTCCTTATACTTAATTTTGCGGGCACAATCCCTGGTTGTTTTCTCTGGGAGGTGATCCTTCAATTGCACCAGTGCAGTGTTTTCCTTCTGGAAAACACTGGTTTATAGGGGGCTGGCCTTGTCAATGTTTAGGTGTGCAATAGGCCTGTGCGCAGAAGTTGATCGGACAGTGACCCAAATTGAAGTAAAGAACGAACTCCTGGATAGCGGATATCCAGCTGGTTTGGTTAGGTGTCATTTACAAAGGATGTTAGTACCGGCGACAAAACCCAACAAGGGACGGATTGGGACTACCGTTACTCCATACAAACCAGGGACATCGGAAGTCATTCGAAGGATTCTAAACATGGTTAACATGAGAGTAGCTTTCCAGACAAATTCCCATCTCGGCTGGGATCAACAAGCCTGCATGCACGCTCGGAGAGTTTACCCGACATTGGTTGAAATATGCTAAATAATGAGTATGTGCCCGAATATTTAAGTGAAGTTGACACCATTCTTCGGAACTTTGAAATGGCTTCCAGTTTGTCAGTAATGACATAGATTTCCTCCGATTAGCACACCAAATCAATGTTGAATGTCAGTTAATAGGTCTTGTTGGTTAGCGTGGTTACCTAAATCTACGGTTGATAGGTTGGGGGAGTTTAGGATAATTTTTTATCGAGTTTAGTTCCTTGATCTTCCACTTCAATGTGCTTCAATTGATTATTCACCTCAGGTGCCACTGCCAGATTTCGTTGGTTTGCGATCTTGTGAGAGCTACGACAGTCTTTTTCAGAAGGGGGGAGCTGGTTGAGCTTAAGCGCAATTCAGGTCTAAGCTACTTGTGTTGATAGCTCCTCATTCTGAAAACAACACACCAACACGTTTCAGGTCGGCTCATCCAAGACCGCTCTCCACACACTTGCCAGTTCTACGCCTCCTATCTTATGTACACTGGGGTGCTTGGTCATTTCCACCGACTCGGTTATCAGTCTATGTGGTGTGGATCGTAGTCCCGTGTCCAGTACATGTTCTGCCATTGCCGAGCCTTTCAGTAACGCTCTGTGGCCTGTTTGTTTTTCTTATGTGTCCTCCGATCCTGTTGTGAAGTTCCCTGGTTGTCTGCCCTACACAGACCTTAGTGCAGTCCTTATACTTAATTTTGCGGGCACAATCCCTGGTTGTTTTCTCTGGGAGGTGATCCTTCAATTGCACCAGTGCAGTGTTTTCCTTCTGGAAAACACTGGTTTATAGGGGGCTGGCCTTGTCAATGTTTAGGTGTGCAATAGGCCTGTGCGCAGAAGTTGATCGGACAGTGACCCAAATTGAAGTAAAGAACGAACTCCTGGATAGCGGATATCCAGCTGGTTTGGTTAGGTGTCATTTACAAAGGATGTTAGTACCGGCGACAAAACCCAACAAGGGACGGATTGGGACTACCGTTACTCCATACAAACCAGGGACATCGGAAGTCATTCGAAGGATTCTAAACATGGTTAACATGAGAGTAGCTTTCCAGACAAATTCCCATCTCGGCTGGGATCAACAAGCCTGCATGCACGCTCGGAGAGTTTACCCGACATTGGTTGAAATATGCTAAATAATGAGTATGTGCCCGAATATTTAAGTGAAGTTGACACCATTCTTCGGAACTTTGAAATGGCTTCCAGTTTGTCAGTAATGACATAGATTTCCCAAGAATTGGAAGCGTCTTAGAGACTCCGTTCCAGTCGAATATAACGATGACGGAAATCTCGATTTTTCCACATTCTTATCGAAATAGGTTATTTAGGATAAAATCAGTCCTTCACATCACCAGTACTGTTTTCTACTTTCTTTTCAGGTACCAGACAAGCATAAGAAAGAACGCCCTGGTGCTCATCAACGCGAAGTCTTTCTTTTCAATGATTTACTTCTGATCACGAAAGCCGTGCAAAAGAAACGTCGGGATGCGGCCATAGCCTACCAAGTTCGACTTTCACTCAATCTATTGGGAGTACGGATACTGGCTTTTGAAACTATACACCATCCTAACGGTTTGGAACTCGTGCTTCCACTGTCGCAACACGTGTCCATCAACGCCAAAGAGTCCGGCCTGACTGGGACCAGTCTCACACCAGATGGTCGCGCACGCATTCTCGTAACTCTGAACACCAAAACTGCATCTGACCGCGTGCGGTTCATGGAAGATTTACACGAGTGTATTCTGGAGGTCACCGAAGCTGATCGTGTGCGGATCGATGAAGAAATGGCCAAGCAGGTGATACAACGAAAACGATTCATCAAACAAGGTTCGGTGACAGTGGGCTGTGCAGGTCTCAGTGGTGGTGGTGGTAGTGGTTCTGGCGCTGGAGGTCCGGCTGTAAACAAGGCCTTGGACGAGAGGCGTATGCGACCAACACTAAATTCGACCATCAGACAAGGTCATCCTGTCGAGACAGTTCATTCGTCTGGTGAACGCCAGGCTTCCATGCCACCGTTTGTGACCAGTCAACAACAGTTTAATCAACAGCATAAACAACAGCCACATCAGCATCCCGGAGTGGTACTGACAAGTTTCAGTCGACAAGCCGTCACGCATAATCAGCCGCCGACGAATGGCAGTGATCTTCCGAACACAAGTAGTACCTGTGTCTGCAAATTGAATCAGAGTTCGCGACACGGTGAGACGATTACTCAAAGGGAACTCGCCATGCGACCGGAGAAACTGGAAGCACGACAGACTAAAGTCGCTGGAACACCAGCAGAAGAGGCACAACGATTGAGTGGTGACAGCGGCCTGTTGGCAGATCTTGAAACCCCCACTTCACAAACTTCTCATCCTCTCGGTTCCTATTCTTCGGGATCTTCTGGTTAATTAGTCCACTGAATTGTACATATGTATTTAGTGTCCTCAAAGAGCCACTTGTATATTAAGTGGCTCGCATTTTACACGGCAACTACATGCTTTTTACCCTACGAAACCTTCTGTGACTTTGTAATCACGCTTGGACTTCGTGCAACGCAGTCTCATTGATTCTATCCAGTAGCAGTTCACCCCGTCTTGTCCAGTTTTCTTTTCTTTATCTGTGATACCTTCACACATATTGATTTATCCCCCAACCCTCCACGATACCGGTCGCGGTTGTTTTATCGTCCACCTTACCAACCGGAATTTGAACGACTTTTCACATCTTTATTGAACCGATCCCACCAGTTACTTGTCCTGCCATAATTTGATACCTTATGCATTCAATTGGGCCTCATTCGACCTACCAAGCGACTGTTACAATTGGTGCTGGTATGCCAGCATTCCAAATTTGCTGCCTAGTTTTCGTTTGGAAACCTGGAACCGCGCAGTTGAACAGAACGTGAGAATTAACGTCTTAATCAGTTTTCACAGTAACCACCGCTATGAGTAGCGTTCGGACTATCTGCGTTTAACGGAACTCGTGATCTTGATATAGCTCAAGAGTCGAGGCGCTAGTTCTTTTCCGAAGGTTCTGCGGTTTGAATTAACCATGAATGTTCTAGTTACTCTTACCTGAGTTTGGACTACTTGGTAACATCTTCCGGAGAAAAGTGGTTTCCACTGGCTCTTGCTGCCACTGAATTGGCTAAACACTGTCACAAAGGCCTACAATAGGAAGAGGAGAAAATGAGTAAAACGGAGAGCCAGTGGGGTTTACATGGATAATCCGATGATACGTCAGTTACCATGCTCCTATTGGTTGGTTCGTTTAATTACGAGCTTGTGTGCCTCTGGCACGAGAAAACCTCAAAAGGTATATCGTAACTTTGAAGTTTCTGTGTCGGATAGGCTTCTCAAGGTTCGGCTGGTGCTCTAGATGCTGACGTTTGGTGGCGGAATTTCTGACCGGATGCGTTTTAGACCAAGAAACGAATGGCCTGTCGAAAGTCCTCATACGTTCAACAGACGGAAAAGCATCGGCTCTGAAGCATACCGTGCTCGATCCGGTTGCATGTGTAGTCAAATTTAGGGAACACGTCCTTCCAGGGTATCGAAGGCTGTTTTCAATTAGACACTTATCTGGATATGGCCAATCGACCGCGCAGCCCCTTTGACAATCCACCGTAAGCGGTCGGTGCGGTGGCGTATAAGCTGGTGTCTCTTCGCGAATGTAGTTGCATCTCAGTGTACCCTAAAGGTTGATTCTCCCATTTAGGAGAAAGATGAGTGTAGCCAGTGACTTGAGGGTAATGACGACATATCCCCTAAGAAATTTTAGTATCATGTGTTGAGGCCTTTCCAGGACCATATAAGTAATGTCCAAGATTACTTCGAGTTGGTTTAGTTTCCTGATGGCAGGAACAGCTACATGGTTACGATAATGATTTTCCTAAACTATGCAGCTTGCGTTGCTTGGTGACAATGTATCAGGTATCCCTTATTTACTACGACCTCAACCGTCCTGTCGATATATTCTTTCCAAGTCCAGGGTTACCCTTCCGCCCTCGATGCTGTCCGACTTGAGAGATCCACTTTAGTGGGAAAATGCTATTGAGGTGTTTACCTGTTTGCTGCCAGATAGAATTCACTTGGAGAAGCATTATGGCGGAATTTTCTACAATTGTTTGAAGCGGATTAAGAGCTTCAACGTGAACACCCTACTGTCAACCATAGGATTTTTGCAAGATATGGTGTTTCCTTTTTAGATGGAACAATCAAGGAACCGATGGTAATCATCATCTACAGAAGAGAACTTTCCTAATACAGGTCTGAAACACCCAAATATGTCTAGATCTGTCTGATTCGTTCTCCGGTAATTCCAAAACTTTATCGAAACTGCTGTAGTTTGGGGTATATCGGTCTTTTTCATGTTGCTGCTTTCTCCAGGCTCATAACCGTCGTTTACAACCCTCGTCAGTGGCACTACGCGGACTTGGCAGCTTGGTCACTCAGCAGACGCTCATGTTGCATGATGTGACACTTCCGAAATCCCCTTTGTTGATGCAGGCACACCGCTGCTAACTGCAAACAAAAATCCATAGTTGTGATTCCCCTTGTCTGCTGGATGTCACTCGGCTAGCATAACATGTGCGAGTGAACAATACTCAACAAAATCGAACTAATTGGAGGCTGAGTGGGTTACCTCCAAGAGGGACCACTTTCCAGTTAAAACCACTTCACCGTGGTCCTTGTGACGTTAAATATCCTTTTACGAAAACCGGGGTGTGAAATTCATGCACTTAGCTTTGCACGATCCGATACCCATTGGACACTTGATCAGTAACAGAAAAAAGTAATCCCTCAAGTGATTGGACCGTAAAACATGAATTCCATTTATAAAGCACATCACTGCGACCCACCATGTAGAGACCTCCCCACAGATAAGGACGCTAATACCAAGTTCTTGAAACGGTCAAGTCCATCGTGGCAGCTAAAGAGCTCACCTTTGGTGAGTCCCTGCAAGCGGCCTTTGGAGAGCGAACTGCCTTAGTATAAGTCAGTCGTTGGTTTGTTCGCTGAGCTGGGTAGTTTGATTACAGACGTTTCATCGCTATTAGGGGTGTTATCATCAGTGCATTGTTATGGGGCGTAGCGTAGCGTAGTCGGTAGTTGTGCCTACAAGCTGTTACTCTCTGGAAATCATTTGGAAAGACCAATCTGAAGTGATTGCTAGTCTTTTTAAGGGGAACCAAGTGTACATGTCTTCTAAGTGGATTAGTTCAAAGGACGACCTAAAGTGGTCTTTCGCGAATCGGTCTCCTTTAGGAGAGAGTTTGCCGTTGAAATATTCTTCGAGGGACCAGCTGTGAGTGGCTTCTTACGAGTGTTTCATCCCCGTGGTGGACGTTCCGGAAGTGGTATGCTGATATTGGTGAACTTAAACAAACCGTGAGATTGTACATTAACAGCTGTAGTCATTTCCCACTGGATACACACCAATGAGTCTCACTTTTTGAAAACTAACACCGTGTGCTATCCGTCCGAAAATTTACACCAAATTTGGAGGTTTTTCGGCTTTCATGTCTAATCTCATTCCCACGACATTTTGGAAATCTAATCCTCCTACCATGCCGGTATGTTTATTGACCAGTGAAACCTCGACATAGGAAACCAGCTTTGTAGGTGAAACATTTCTGGGAAAAAGAAGGTAGAATAGATAGTGATAGTATGTGCACAGGTCTGACGGTTCTACGGACTATTTTTCGTCGATAGTGTGCGCTGATCCGAATTCAGTTGCAGTTCAATCCGACAGAACGCTCTTGTAGTATCGTGTCGCCTATGGTGGAAATATGCAAATCTTTTGGGATATCCGAAGTCTGGTGAAAACTTTGAGCAGAACAAGGGCCACTCACTATTTCCATTCCAGTCGGTAGTGGTTTAAATTTTGACCTAGATGGATATGTTTCCGTACGACCGAAGTGACCTTCAGAAGAAAGTTTGTTATATTGCGGATGTTTTGAAATGAGACCGCGATAATAATGCAGTAACCTCAATGTACTATTGTACCTTTGTCATAGTCTGAGGTATGTACATTATTATGTCTTCCGGTCGGTAGATAATCCTCTCTCCCCGATAAAGAGGGTGTTTCCAAACCAAAACCAGTTAGAACGTTCATAATTATCCGTCCTTTTCCGATGGAATATTATATTCATATACACATATATGAGTTCACTATAATTATGCAGGATAGTTTAGTGCGGCCGGCTGAAACGGCAGTAGAAACCTGATTGGCTGAATATGCTCGATCTCTTGAGAATTATGGCAGCCCCCTAAGGTCATCAAACAACCAGGGACCACCCGTGACACTGGCTGGTTTCAGCTGAGTCAGATATGGTCCTGATGCGAGATGTTGCTCCATGTAATCTCCGGTGACCTAAAAAAAAACTACATGGATCTGCAGCGTCCCTTGTTTGACATAGGAAGAGAGGGGTACTATAAGATTCGAGCGTTCATTGCAAGTTAACCGGATAATTGGTAGTGTGAGGTGATTTTAGAAATTTCAATTGATATTTCGTCCTGTAATTGAAGCCGATCTATGCTGAAGAGATGAGAAGCACAATGCAGCCATTTCATCCTTACTGAGATTCATTAGCATCGCCCATCTCGCAAAAATCTAGGGGATCTTGATTTCCCGATTACTAGTCTGAATGCTTAGCCTTTCCGCCACAAGCGGTGGATCAGCAGTATGATCAACCACCCTTAGCGCTACTCATCCTTCAATCACAGAATCCATATCACGTGATGAGTGCCAAGACTTCTATTTGAGGAGTTCCTGCATAGGTTGGCTTTATTTACAATGCGGAACTTCAGTTAACCGAATTATTCGTACAGTGGGAGTTTAGAAGGGTTTAATATGAGGGGTTCAAATAAACACAATCCGTGAAAGTTCATACTTGTGATTGCTAAGTATATTTGGACTAATAGTATGAAAGTACCGAATGGCAGCAAAAGCTGCATACACGGAATGAATCGTTGGACAGAAGTGATCAAGTCCGTTCTAGTCTCAAGTCTTCTGTGCTATGGACTACCGCTTGATGCGCTTCACGGTAAACTTAGACAGGCGTGTGGTTATTACTGTAGGTCCGGCTTAGACTCACATATGGTATGAAAATCGGTTGGGTAGTTAATAGTATTTTCAGACAGATTGCGTCTCATCATCCAATGGATTCCTGTACGCCTTCTTCTAGCAGTTTATCTTCAGAAAAACTGAAGCAGGTGTCTGAGAGTTTACCGTTTCTTTTGGGTATCCATGTAAATCTCGGTAAGATGGCAGGTTGTTTACTTTGAAGTGTACACTGTGCAAGCATCTAAATCGCTGGTCGTTCTGTGGAACGTTCCCATCGTCATCCTCAACTCTTATTCACGAGATCTTAAGTGTGTTGCATTTTATTTAAAAAGCACTGATAAGTATTTCCGATTGTGCTACGAATGAGGCTTTATAATAGTTATTCAGCATTGGCTTATCCCCCTGTTTAAAAGTTGCAGTTCGCACTTGAATCTTGTGATCAAAGAGGGTTTCAAGTATGTGTGATGTTGCGGATGCTAAACACAGATGCATTCATACCCTTATATTTCCCAGTACACCATACATCCGGCTTAATTCAACTGCCTTGAATGAGGTATTATCTGCCAAAGTCGGCTCGGATTTCATTAAATAAACTGAGCGCCATGTGGTTCATAATACGGAAAGCCTAACGCCAAAACATGGCGTGGTGGAACAGTATGAGTGGGGATGACCGCCGCAATCCTAGCAGAGCTGAGGGCACGAGCTGTGTCACGTCATCGGTGGTAACAACCTTGTCAGCTTGGGGCATCTTCATTTGGTTCTGAAGCTCAGACC